TGGCCTGTGCCTGTGTGTCCCTGTGTGTGCTCTGTGTGTGTTCCTGTGACATGTAGGTGTTTGTCTCTGTGTGTGCTGTGTGTGTGTTCCTGTGGCCGGTGCCTGTGTGTCCCTATGTGTGCTCCTGTGACATGTGGGTGTTTGTCCCTGTGTGTGCTGTGTGTGTGCTTCTGTGGCCTGTCCTCACATGCCAGCATCTCTCCTGAGGGCCCAGGTGATGGAGTGGAGGCTCCAGGCTTGATCCTGGGAGAGGACAGAGCCTCTGGGTGAGGTTGCCTGGGCACAGGCCTGACTTTGAATGCTCTGCAGGGAACGCAGTGGTCCTCAAGCCCTCAGAGCTCAGTGAGAACACGGCGAACCTGCTGGCCACCCTCATCCCTCAGTACCTGGACAAGGTGAGGTACCCTCCAGGGCTCAAGGATGACCGTGTAGGGGCTGCATCTTCAGGGCTTGAGAAATAGTGTATTCTTGCTGGGAAGGGCTGAGCCATGTGTAGGGGAAAGGATAACCCCTAGTAGCCGCCCTCCCCATTGGGGTGCACAGAGCCCCTGAGCTGGGAGAGGGGGCTCATTTGCCACCTGCCATCCATGTGGGGTGCCAGGCTGAGGGGCTGTGAGGGTACAGAACTGCTGGCCTCAGCCACTGCCCTCCCAGGCCTGCAGGGGTGAGGAGGGGCTTGGTCTTTGCTAAGCCTCCCTTCTCTCCTTGTGGAAGGATTTGTTTCCAGTCATCAATGGGGGTGTCCCTGAGACCACAGAGGTGCTGAAGGAAAGGTTCGACCACATCCTGTACACAGGCAGCACAGGGGTGGGGAAGATTGTTATGACGGCTGCCGCCAAGCACCTGACGCCTGTCACCCTGGAGCTGGGAGGAAAGAGCCCCTGCTACGTAGACAAGAACTGCGACCTGGACGTGGCCTGCCGGTGAGGAGGCAGGGTGGCCCTGTGTCTGCTTTCCCACTCCCAGGGACCACGCCTCAAGCTGTGGCTGTGCTCTGAGGAGCACAGACAGCCCCTGCCTCCTGGGGACCACGAG